CCCGCGCCCCCCCCCCGCATGCGCTGAGCCCCGGGGGGGGGATCCAGACCCCCCGCGGGGGGGGCGCTCGGGACCCCCCGGCCCCGCAGCCCAGGGGGGGTCGGGACCCCCGGGGCCCTTTGGGGGCGCCGCCGCTTTTTTAAGGGGGGGAAACGCGCCCCCCCACTCCCCCCAGCCCCATTTTTGGGGGCATTTGGGCCCCCCCCAGCCCTGATTTAGGGGGAGATTTGGGGCGATCCCCCCACATCCCCCAGCCCCATTTGGGGGGATTCGCGTTCCCCCCGCCTCCCCGACCTCATTTTAGGGGATTCAGCTCCCCCCAGCCCCTCCTCGGGTGATTGGGCACCCCCCGGTCCTATTTTAGGGGATTTGCCTCCCCCAGCCCCATTTGAGGGGGGATTGCCCCCCCCCCCGGCCCTATTTAGGGGGGGGATTTGGGGTTTCTCAGGGCCTCCCCCAGCCCCATTTTCGGGGTGATCTGGGGCCCCTCCCCGGCCCCGTGGGTGGATTTTGGGCTCGTTGAGCCTCACGGGGGGGGGATTCGCGGACCCCCCCGGCCCTTGTGGGGTGACCCAGGGCCCAGGTTCGGGGGGATTTGGGGTTTCCCCGACTTCAGGTTGGGTTGAACTGGGACTGCCCCCCCCTCCCCATTTTTGTGCTGATTTGGAGCCCCCCCCATCCCAGTTTTGGGCTCGCGATCCCCCCCAGCCCCATTTCGGGGTTCAGCACCCCCCTAGATCCTCTTTTGGGGCACAACCCCCCCCTCAAAGCCCATTTTAGGGTTCAACAACTCCCCCGGGGCCTCATTTTGGGGCACAACCCCTTCCCTTCACCACCTCCCCCCCATTTCGGGGCTCGGTCCTTCCCTGACCCCCCTTTTGGGGCTCTGAATCCCCCCACCCCCCTTTGGGGGCTCCCCCTCTCCCTTCACCCCCCATTTTGGGGTCTCACCCTCCTCCCTCCCCCCTTTTGGGGACGCCCCCCTCCCTCCACCACCAGCCCCACATTTTGGGGGTCCCCCCGTGCTGTCACCCCCTTCTTTAACCGGGGGCTCCCCCTCTCCTACTCCCACCCCCCCATTTGGGAGCTCCCCACTTCCTCCCCCCCCCCCATTTTGGGGTTCAATCCCTCCTAGACCCCATTTGGGGGGTCTGACCCTCTCCCTTCACCCCTCTCCCCTCATTTGGGGTCTCCCCCACGCCTTTCACCGCCCTATTTTGGGGCTTCCCCCTCCCCCCCACCTCCACCCCCTCATTTGGGTACTGCCCCCTTAATTTGGGGGCTCCCCCCCCCTCATTTGGGGACTCCCCCATCCCCTCCTCCATCCATTTCGGGGGTCCCCTCTCCCTCCTCACCCTCACCCCCTATTTGGGGGCTTCCTCCTCTTTCCATCCCCCCTTTTTGGGGGTTCCCCCCTCTCCTTTCACCCCCCCCAAATTCGGGGGCTGCCCCATCTCTCCCCCCTCCCTCCATCTCCATTTTGGGGGCTCCTCCCCCCCATTTGGGGTCCCCCTCGCTGGGGTCCCCCCGGCGCTGCCGGATGGGGGGGGGTCGCTGAGGGGCCGATGGGGGGCCGGGGGGGCCCCGGGGCGCTGGGGGTGCTGGCGCTGGGGGCGCTGGGGGTGCTGGGGGTGCTGGGGGTGCTGGTGCCCCCCGCCCGCCCCGCCCGCGTCTCCTCCAGCCTCTCGACCACCCACCACGTGCACCATTTCCACGGGCGCCACGGCACGGCCCCCATCGCCATCAACCGCGCGCCCTTCCTCACCCGCGGGCACCACGGTGAGCCTTCCTCCTCCTCATCCTCATCATCCTCATCCTCATCATCCTCATCATCACTTTCATCCTCATCATCATCCTCACCTTCCTCATCCTCCCCATCACCATCAACCACGCGCCCTTCCTCACCCGTGGGCACCACAGTGAGACTTCCTCCTCCTCTTCCTCCTCATCATCATCCTCACCTTCCTCATCACCCTCACCTTCATCATCCTCATCCTCCTCATCCTCATCATCCTCCTCATCCTCCCCATCCCCATCAACCATGCGCCCTTCCTCACCCGCGGGCACCACGGTGAGCCTTCCTCATCTTCCTCCTCCTCATTATCCTCCTCCTCATCATCATCATCCTCCTCATCCTCACCTTCCTCATCCTCATCATTCTCACCTTCATCATTCTCCTCATCCTTCTCATCCTCATCTTCATCCTCATCATCCTCATCATTCTCACCTTCCTCATTATCCTCATCCTCATCTTCATCTTTCTCCTCCTCATCATCATCGTCCTTATATTTCTCATCCTCATCCTCACCTTCCTCATCCTCCCCATTGCCATCAACTGTGCGCCCTTCCTCACCCACGGGCACCACGGTGAGCCATCCTCATCCTCATCCTCATCCTCATCTTCCTCATCATCCTCATAATTCTCATTCTCATCCTTTTCATCCTCCCCATTGCCATCAACGTGCGCCATGGTGAGCCTTCATCAACACCTGCATCACTCTCATCCTCCTCATCCTCATCTTCATCCTCCCCATCACCATCAACCGCGAGCCCTTCCTCACCCATGGGCACCAAGATGAGCCTTCCTCACCCATGGGCACCAAGATGAGCCTTCATCACCCTCAACATCATCATCTTCATCCTCCTCCTCATGGCCCTTCCTCAACCACAACCACCTCAGTGAGCCTTCATCACCCTGGCCTTCCTCACCCTCCTCATCCACCTTCCCCCTCCTCCTCCTCCTCCACAAAACCCTCATCATCATCATCATCATCATCATCATCATCATCTTCCTCAGGCTCCCTCAATCTCCTCTTCACGATGACAGGGGCACAGATGGCCTTCCTCCCCCTCTTCCTCCTCCTTCTCCTTCACCTCCTCCTCCTCTTCCTCTTCCTCACCCCTCCTCCTCCTCCTTTTACTGAGGAGCCCCAGACCAGCCTTCCTCCTCCTCAGCCTCCTCTTCCTTCTCCTCCTGGGGACCCCAAAACCCTCCTCCTCCTCCTCCTCCTCCTCCTCCTTCTTCTTCCTCTTCCTCCTCCTCCTCACTGCCTTGGAAACCTGGGAGAGCCTTCATCCTCCCCTCCTCCTCTTCCTCTTCCTCCTCCTTCTGCTCACCCAACCCCCTCCCTCCTCCTCCCCCCGGGAACTCCAGCCAGCCTTCCTCCTCCTCCCCCTCCTCCTCTTCCTCCTTCTCCTCCTTCTGCTTCTCACCCTCCTCCTCCTCCCCACCTGCTCGCGGGTACTTCAGCCTGGCCTTCCTCCCCCTCCTCCTCCTCCTCTGTCACCTCCTCCTCCTCCTCCTCACTGCCTTGGGAACCTGGAACAGCCTTCCTCCCCCTCTTCTTCCTCCTCCTCGTCCTCCCCCTGCGCCGGGGCTGGGCGGGGTTTGGGGGGGCCCTGTGGGGTCTGTGCCCCCCCCGTGTGTCCGTGCTGTGTCCGTGTGTCTGTGTCCATATCCATGTGTCCGTGTGTCCGTGTGTCCATGTCCGTGTGTCCCTGTCTGTGTGTCTGTGTCCATATCCGTGTGTCCGTGTGTCCCTGTCTGTGTGTCTGTGTCCATATCCATGTGTCTGTGTGTCCGTGTGTCCATGTCCGTGTGTCCCTGTCCGTGTGTCTGTGTCCATATCCATGTGTCCGTGTGTCCGTGTGTCCATGTCTGTGTGTCCATATCCGTGTGTCCGTGTGTCCATGTCCGTGTGTCCATGTCCGTGTGTCTGTGTCCATATCCATGTGTCCGTGTGTCCGTGTGTCCATGTCTGTGTGTCCATATCCGTGTGTCCGTGTGTCCATGTCTGTGTGTCCATATCCGTGTGTCCGTGCTGTGTCCGTGTGTCCGTGTCCGTGTGTCTGTGTCCATATCCATGTATCCATGTGTCTGTGTGTCCATGTCCGTGTGTCCCTGTCCGTGTGTCCATGTGTCCCTGTCCCCGCACACACGTGTGTGCCAGGCTGGGGCGGTTTGGTGTTTTTGGGGTGTTTTTGGAAGTTTTGGGGTGGTTTTGGGTGTCTTTGGGTGGTTTCAGGGTGTGTTTGAGATGGTTTTGGGTGGTTTTGGGTGTTTTTGGTTGGTTTGGGTGTGTTTGTGGCCGTGTTTGTTCACACCGAGCCCTCGTGCAAGGCCATGGGGAGGGGGGGACAAGAGGGACCCCCAAACATTGGGGTGTCCTGCTGTTCCCACAGCCCCTCCCCTAAATTCAGAGGTTCCCCCAAAAAAATTCCAGGGCCTCCCCCAAGCGTTGGAGCCTTCCCTGTTCCTCAGGGTCCCCCTGGATGCCGTGGACCCCCCCCAAATTCAGGGGTCCCTATGAACGCTGGGGTCCCCCCCCAGATTCCAGCTCACCCCCAAGCTCGGGGGTCCCTCCTGAGCTCCTGGATCCCCCCCAGGTGCCGGAGTCTCCCCAAACCCCCCCAGGGCTCCTCCCCCAGGGGCTCCCCTCGAATTCTGGATCCTGCTCTCCCCCTCCGAACTCCTGACACCCCCAAACCCTGAGCTGCCCCCAGCCCCCTCCAGCTGCCCCCTGACCCCTGGTTTTTCTCTCCCCCCCCAGCGGGCACCACGTACATTTTCGGCAAGGGGGGGGCCCTGATCACCTACACGTGGCCCCCCAATGACCGGCCCAGCACCCGCGCTGACCGCCTGGCCCTGGGCTTCAGCACCCGGCAGCGCGACGCGGTGCTGCTGCGCGTGGAGAGCGCGGCCGGGCTCGGAGACTTCCTGCAGCTCCACATTGTAAGGGGGGGACAGAAATTTGGGGTCTGGGGGTCCTGGAGGGGCTGGGGGGACAGGGGGGTCTGGGGGTTTAGAGGTTTAGGGGGTCTGGGGGTGCTGCTGAGCGTGGAGAGCGCGGCCGGGCTCAGGGAGTTCCTGCAGCTCCACGTTGTAAAGGGGGGGGCAGAAATTGGGGTCTGGGGGTCCCAGGGGGCTCTGGGGGTCTGGAGGATCCTCAGGAGATCTCTGAGGGTCCCTGATGGAGGCTGGACTTGGGGGTTTCCTGCAGCTCCACATCATAAAGAGCGGGCAGAATTAGGGGTTGGGGTGGGTTTGGGGGGTCCTGGGGAGGCCAGGGGGATTTGGGACCACCGGGGGTCTCTGGGGACTCCCAGTCAAGGCTGGATTTGGTCGCTTCCCACAGGGGACAAAACTGAGCTGTGGGGGGGTTTAATGGGGGTCCTGGGGCGTTCTGGGGGGCTCCGGGGCTTCCCGCTAAAGGCTGCATTTGGTGACATCCTGAAGCTCCGCAGGAGGGGAAAAAATTGGGGTCTGGGGGGGTCCTGGGGAGGCTGTGGGGGGGTTTGGGGGTACAGGGGGGGGCTCTGTGGGGTCCCGTTAAAAGCCAGATTTGGCGATTTCCTGCAGCTCCACTTTGTAAGAGGGACTAAAATTGGGGTCTGGGGGTCACTCCTTGCGTGGGGGTCCGTGGGACAGGTACCCACCTGTGCCCCCCTCCCCGCTCCCCACGCAGGTGCAGGGGGCCGTGGGGGTCCTGTTCAACGTGGGCACCGAGGACATCGCGCTGGAGGAGCGGGGGGCGGCCGTCAGCGATGGGCGCTTCCACGTCGTCCGCTTCACGCGCAGCGGCGGCAACGCCACGCTCCAGGTGGACGGCGGCCCCCTGCACGAGCGTTACCCGCCAGGTACCCCCCGCCGCGCCCCGGGCACCCCAGGGCCCCTCCAGACACCCCCAGGTATCGCCCAGGTGTTCCCCAGGGCTCCTGCAGACCCCCTAGGTACCCCCAGGGCTCTTAGAGGCCCCCCCCCCAGGGCTCCCCCAGACACCTAAGGGACACCCCAGGTGCTTGGGGACACCCCTATGGCACCTGTAGCCCCCCCCCAGAGCCCATAGGGCCCCCCAGAGCCCCCCCCTAACGAGGGCACTAACGAGGCAGCGCTAACGAGGGGTCCCATGGCCACCCCCGCCCCTCCCCCGCTAATGCCCCCCTAAAGGCCACATAAACCCCCCGAGGGCCAGCCCCACCCCCGGTGACACCGGGGCCACCCCACACCCCCCCCCGGTGACACTACGGCCAGGGCTGGGGACATCAGCAGGGGCGTCACGGCTCTGGGGACACCGATGGTCACACCACGGTCACAGCGTGGTGTCACCAGTGGTGCCACCTGTGGGCCCGCTGTGGTGGCACTAAAGGTGACAGTGCCACCATCCCACCACGGTGGCGCTGATGGTGACACTGATGGTGACACTGTGGCCACACCAACGCGGTGCCAACACCCATGTGCTCACACCCCGGTGCTGATGACAGTGACACCACGATCCCACCATGGTGACATTAATGGTGACACCATGATGCCATCATGGCTGACACTGATGGTGATGCTGGTGGCGCCACCAGTGATGAGATCATGGTGGCATCATGGTGACAATGTGGCCACACTGGGCTGCCACAAGTGGTGCCACCGGTGGTGCTGATGGTGACAGCAGTGGCAAGACCACGGTCCCTCTGTGATGGCAGCAGTGGTGGCACTAATGATGAGACCATGGTCCCAGCATGGTGACACTGATGGTGACACCAATGGCCAGACCACAGTCCCACCATGGTGACGCTGATGGTGACACCAATGGCAAGGCCATGATCCGACTGTGGTGACACCAAGAGTGGCACTAACACCGAGACCATGGTCCCATCTTGGTCACACTAACGATGTCACTAACGATGAGGCCATGGTCCCACCATGGTGACATTGATGGTGACACCAGTGATGCCAATAATGATGAGGCCATGTTCCCGCCATGGTGACACCAATGACAAGGCCACAGTCCCGCCGTGGTGACACCAAGAGTGCCACTAACACTGAGACCGTGGTCCCATGGTCCCACCTTGGTGACACCACTGATGCCACGAACGATGAGACCGTGATCTCACCGTGGTGACACTGATGGTGACACCAACGGCAAGGCCACGATCCCACGGAGGTGACACCGATGACGCCGCTGAGCCCGTGGTCGCAGCACGGTGCCGCCGCCGCCGATGCCCCCCCCCCAGCGCCGCGCTGCCACCGCCGGCTCCCTGCCGGTGTCCCCGTCCCCTGCCCCGTGTCCCCGTAACGCTCTTCTCCTCCCTCCGAAGGCAGCGGGGACAGCGAGCGGCTGGCGCTGGCGCGGCAGCGCATCCCCTTCCGCCTGGGGCGGGTGGTCGATGAGTGGCTGCTCGACAAAGGTAACGGCAGCGAGCGCCCCCCACACCTGGGCACCCCCACACCTGGGCACCCCCCACACCTGGGCACCCCGCTGTGGCCGGGACCCAGAGATTTGGGGTCCCAGGTGTCTGGAACCCACTGATTTGGGGAGTGTCTGGGACCCCCAACACTTGGAGGCTCCGACACCTGGGCACCGCCACACCTGGGCGTGCTGGAATGTGGGGACTCAGGTGTCCGGGACCCACCTGTTTGGGGTCCCAGGTGTTTGGGGACCCCGATATTTGGGGGTTGCGGCACCTGAGCCCCACAGGTGTCCAGGAACCACGTCCCAGAGGACCCCGTTGTCCAGGGACCCCCAGGTGTCCGGGGAGGGACCCCAGGTGTTGGGGGAGGGGCCAGCCCCTGCCCCGCCCCCTCATTACCTGGTTAAAGGGACGCTAACGCACCTAACGGCCCCCCTAAACCGCGCTGAGCCCAGAGCCCCCCTAAAGCCGCATAAACCCGCTAAACCCCCTAACCCACACCTGCCCAGGGACTGCCCGGGGCCGGGGCTGCGCCAGGTGTGCGCAGGACAGGTGTGCGCCACGGCTGGGACGTGCGCCAGGTGTGCACCGGGTCTGAGCCATGGCATCAGGTGCACACAGAACAGGTGTGCATGAGGACAGGTGTGCACCGAGGCTGGGGTGTGTGCCAGGTGTGCACTGGGCCAGGTGTGTGAGCCAGGTGCGCACCAGGGCCAGGTGTGCACGAGGACAGGTGTGCACCAGGTGTCCGTGAGGACAGGTGTGCACGAGGGCAGGTGTGCACCAGGTCAGGTGTTCACCAGGTGTGCACCAGGGCTAGGTGTGCATGAGGACAGGTGTGCACCAGCTGTGCAGCAGGGCCAGGTGTGTGTGAGGAAGGCGCACAGGTGTGTCTGCCCTGGAGGCCCAGGTGTGCACGGGAGCCGCCCCAGCCTCGCACGCCCCTCGCACGCCCCGGCCCCGCCCAGGC